GGGTTTGAGTAATTCAAATGCGTGGTAGTCGTATGAGATGCAAATAACGGTAATCAGTTGATCAAAAGCGTTAAGGTTCGCATCACTGGGCTCAATTTGCCAGGCTTTGGTCTTAATTTGTTTCATGAACTACCTCTTGGCTATGTTACAAGTCCACTTAACAGGTCCATATAATCTTTCCATAGATACCTTCGACGGGGTTGAAACAGAAGCTGTGAGAGGGCATGATTCACATATATGGATGCTCTGTTGTGGGTTGGTGAATTATCGAAACCAACCAGTCCTAACGACTGACTGCTGCGTAAGCACTGTTGGTAAACATTTCTCAATAAAGCCATGGCACATATGCAGTACCAACTGTCAATCGGGTCTCCAAATGCCATATTTCAGTTGTTGAAGAACGAGCACAAAGTTGCAGATTCCGATGGTTATCAGATGGGAGACATTTTGCAACACACTCTGCGGAATACATATTCCATAACATCTGAAGCGACAGGTATGAACGATGCTTTCATCTACACACGTTCAATATGAGCTAAAGTGACTTCATTTATTAAAGGAATGTTGCACATGACGTGTGCACACTTAGATATCCTGGAATCTGCATTTGGGTTGAAAAACCACTTTTTCGAGAGAATCGTGATACCAAACCAGGAAGCGGTCAGCCAATATCTCGCAGAAAGTTTATCCCAATTTAGGACTTAATTTACTCCACAAAACAAGTTGGATTATTTACAACATGATCAAAAACGTGATTGATGCAGTGGGTATCCAAAGTTTGTCTGGGATAACTAGTTTTGAGAGCAGTATCACTATTGGTAGCAACATACAGTTTGGAGTATTTTAACTTTGACACAAGACTTCAGTTAGAAACTTTGGTCACGTTGGTCTGGGTGTTACATTCACAGATTCCTTTGAAGCATTTGCTGTAAACTTGGGTTGGACATTTGTCATATTATCGCTTTTCGAATCTGCGTTATTGCTCCAAAATAGACGGAATAAAATTCTGGCATTAGTCGGTTTGTCCCCCTATGTGAACCACTTCAGGATTTTTAATTACAGCACATCTCGTTTGTGCTTCCAAGCATTGAATACATTTCAAGCTGAAGCTGAGCAAAGCATTGGCATGGCCCATCTTCAATACAAGTAAAGCTACGTGGTACAATCGAATAAACTTGCATTTAGTGATATCTCAGTGAATCTTAGGATTATCCGAAGATTCCACAATGTGTCTCACTTTCTCATCTATTACCTTATTCGCCTATGAAAGTATGATTTGAACCGAAGGAGCAATCGTCTTTAAGTCTTTTTTTAATATATACTTTGACTTTGCAAATTCTCAACACCGTCAAATTGCTGTGACTGTATCTAAATGCTCAATGTCATGTTTTACCACAAGGCTTACACAATCTGACTGATAATATCTTGAATATTCTGTGAAACACGATCGGTGGTCGTGTTTTTTTCAAACTTCAATCTCATGAAACAATTTCGNCTTCCATCACAGCGCAAAGATTCTGAGCAGCAATACTACTTTGCTTTGTATTCAACACCCAAGCCGGCCATTAGCTAATCTGAAAGTATCGATTGGATATATCTGATGTCACGATCCTCTGCGAGCTCATATCGTTTTGTGCATGTACGCGCCTCATCCCCGTCTTCAAGTTTACATGAGCGTAATTTGATTAGCCCAATTTGGGATAAGATCACGTAAACATTCCAACTGCGTATCATGCTCCAGTCATCTTCAGATGAACTCAATAGAAAGAAAGAACAGAATTGAACGGGGATTAGTTACATACGTGAGTCGGTAGTAACATATAGAATGTGGGTGTTTTATTTTGTGCAAAATAAGTCTGAAAGATCAAACGCTTCTCAAATGGTACATCCGAGTTTCACAAAGATTCAAGTGTGCATTACAGCTGAAAACTTAAAGCAGAAAAAGCAACAATCGGACACCTGTTACATCATCATCTCATGAGAAGATAAAAAGACAGTTATTGTATTTTTCCCTGAATCGCATTGATGAACACATCTCAACTCGATTGCTCAAATCCTCAAAACCATGTTTGTCACACTGACTTAATCTATGGTCTCACTCAAGCGCCAAAAACACTCGGTTAAGAATTGAAAAGTATGTCCAAAACGGATTTCTCGCTGTTCTTGCTATGCTTGAGGCAACCTTTTCGGACCTAATTAAGCTGTTTATGGTTCAATACACCAAGATTTTTGGAAATATAGTCAGCAGAGAAAACTCCACTAGCATACCTCTGGCCGCTGCTCAACCAAGTGCCTCACTAGGAGAATCGTAATTAGTTTTTTCCCCTTGGCCGGTTGGATTTGCGCACATCACGTTACTTTCTACGACCGTTTGCGAGTTTTTCTTTGCAAAAAGATCGATCGCCATGGGCAGGAACTCACTACCTAATGGTGCATTGCCACTGGTCGGTGGCGATCGCTAAATCAGTGAGCACATATTTATCCGCTTGCAAATCCCTGATAATGGCTAACTTGTTAGATCAGTATCATTTGCAATCACATGGTTTCCCTTTTTTGTACCGTTTCCTATCAAGCATCGACGCGAAATTCACATAGTCAAAACATATAGTTGATTTATTCCAGGGAACGAATGTCTATAGACAGACAACGATTGCCAAAACAATACCGATTAGAGAATAATTTCATGTTGAATGAACTGAGTACGTTCACAAATTTCCGGCATATAAACGGATGATTTGTTTAAAGAAGGAGGACCGAATTAAGTCTCACCTATGCTGTGTTCGAATCCCACCACCACCACCTGTCTTTCTCCATTGTATGTGTTGAATGGCAGCATTTTGATTGACCTCTTCTCCCTTCCTGACTTTTGTATCTTTGTATATTCAATAACAGGAAGTAAAATGAAAATGAAATGATATTGTGAAAAGTTAAGTAACCTCAGTGGGACGCGGCCTAAATTTTTTACAGTGTACGTTCTATCTGCTGGGCTACGAGGCCACGCCGATAGCACTGATCTTTTCACATTCAAATCACACAACAAACATACGCAGGTCTATGGCATCCATCAGGTTGCATGTAAGCTGACTGCCACCACAGGTTTTCCTTAAAATTTACTGAAGTCCACCGAATTTAATTCTAATACAAGGTTAATTGTTCAAATTGCTGTTTGGCAGATTGAATTCTTACGTTTGAACTATCACAATTTCCACTTAAGATTTCAATCCACCAAAAAACAGTTTGATTGAGTCCCACTTATCCACTGGTTAGTGTTGAAATTTTTCATCTTGAAACCAAGACAGAGCAATAGATACAAATAAATCCTGTCTATACGGTTCAGTGTCATTGATTGCCACAATTTTCCGCACATCGGTTACGGAATATTTGATAGAAAGACGAAGTGAGGTCAACTATACATATTCAAAAAGGATGTTTTACATCGGATGACCCCGGGTTTTATGTAAAGGACTTGCGCATCGGTTTCCGTTTGTTTTATGGGCGTCATCAACCAGTTTATCCTCTTTGTGTTACGCCAAAATGTCTCACTCCTAAACTCTCAGAATTTATTCGATCAGACGTAAATGTAATTGGCCAGTGTGGTTGGCTTTCCATACTGAGCAGCTGTTTGCCTGCAGTTGTGGTAACGCATACATACATACACACGTATTCATGGACGGAACAAATAGTCAATTGTGATGATGGATGATCGAACGAATTTCATTTCGGTTCACGAATTTCATGATGAAGCCCACGAGATCCAAGGTTACTTATTGCATTACAACAATACACCTATGAAAAATTACAAATGGCATCCAAACTACGAGCTGGAGCAAGGTGTTACCAAGAAAACCGCCTTCGTAGTTGTTAGTTAAAGTTTGTGCTGAGTAAACTTGAATATTGATCATACCGTCCAGAAATACAAATAGAAAAGGGCCTTTCCAAAAGGTGAAGCAGTGAACCTTGTTGTGATGCTTTGTAGCTGCGAGTATATTACACTATTAGCTTCGGAGATGTATCTAAACGCGGCCCTGACGATCTTGCTTCTATGGTAAGAATACCAATTAACCAGTGGACTGCTCATCTCCGCAAGCCCATATCGGTTTTTACTCCTAAAGCAACTTTGGGTGACCTTAATCCAACTTAAAAAGACGAATGTACCCTCCAAGTTGAAATCGTTCTTTGTTAAATCGACGAGACACAGTGCAGGGGGAGAATGAAGGGCACCATAGGTTATCAATACCATCTACCAAACAGAACCTATGAGATTTACAAAACTGTAAATAAACGTGTGATGGGTCTGAGCATCATTACATTTACGTGGTCTCCCACTCCCTGGGTCTCACTGTTAATCACCTGTACTATTGAAAATATTGATGAATTCGCTCTCCTCCGTCCCAAAACTTGAGAGACCGAATCGCTTGATAATATCTTCGCTTGTCTACTCAGATTTCTGTAATTCTCGACTACATAAATGAGACAACCCTGACCTGATTTGCCTACATAACAAATCACACGGTTTCCGCTCCTGCGACAGTAGGCTGCGTCCGGTAAAGGTAAAATCGGATTCGACTTGATTGTAGGCTTAACTACGGTATGAAACCTCAGGACCATGGCGTGTTTAGGGCCGGGGCCTACGTTTGCCGACCGTTCACCCACTATAGAATATAGTGAATGCCACTTGTCCAAGTCATCACTAACTGAGCAGTCGACCAACAGAGACCTCTAGGATCGTTCTTCCGTCTCCCCACCCTCCCACTCGTAATCCATGCCAATAATCTCCAGGGGTATCAAATCCAAGAACCCTGTTTCTCCGCTTTATTCCGCTAACAAGTGGTGAGAAAGTTCTGAGTGCGACAACTATAAAGTATCTGTTATACAAAGGGTCTCCAGGTCCAAAAGTGAAGAAAACAGTTTGATAAGTATCACGTAGAAAAGGCATTATTAGGCAAAATTTGGAACGGTAAGTGAAAGTCATCAACTTCGAGTTAAAGGGTGCGAATAATCTAGCGTTTTCCTTTCGAACTGCGCGACTCCAATGAACGGCCGCTTTCGGAACCGGCTGATTGGGGATAGCGTGCGAGGAGAAGATGGACAACCTCACCAGCATTGCGAAGAACTTGTACCGCTTCTGCGTGACTCAGTTGGCTAACATCAATTCCGTTCACCTACAAACACATGGTAATAAATACGGCATAAAGCTGCATAGCAGGAATGAAGAGACAGATATTAATTGGAACAAAAAGTGAGCTATAGAATTGATCATTGTACACTCACGGCATGTCACAGTTCAAAATCCTTCAGGAGTGTTTTAGTCACCCGATGTGTTTTCTTTCAATTTCTAACAGTCGTATTTTCTGCACATCGTCATCCGCTATATGACCCGATATCACAAACATTCAATCGTTTGTATCTTTTCGCATTAAATACTCAACGAGGCTGTGATACTGAAATAAACAAAGCTTGTTCTGCAGTAAGTCGTCACTTCACTCTGGAAGAACAACATATGGATATTGTCAGCGTAAAGCACAGAACCCAGTGTCCCAAGTGATGAAGGGATTTTGCACACAAGGATGGGTGAACTATGGATAAACAGGAGAAAAACTATCCTATTACACTGCAACAACAAAGCAGACGCAGATGGAACTAACACGTTCAACAGACCGAAACCCAAATACGCATGTGTTGGTATATTGGGGTCTGAAGAATAAAGGTATTGTATTACTTAAATTGTACCCTTTCCCATTAGGCTTTGCTCAAAATCTGCAATCACAGCCTCGGACCATAATGCTTTAATAGCGACTCTTTGGCCTCAACGCACAAACTATAGCTATAACGTTGTAAACGAGTTTGATATAAAGTTTCGTGATATTCAGAGGTCAGTGAACAAAGGACAGTGTGTGGCAACTGTATGTTATGCTCTGAACCATCAAAATTCAGTCACATGCTGCATCGAAAATGGATTAGAGAAGAGTCCAATTATGTCCCTGCGTCATGGAAACATCGGGCACTTTCCGTTTGCCTGTAGTATTTCCGGTGAACACGTGTTGTGTGCTAAATATCAAACTAAGCAAATTAGGTAAGTAGTTTGCTTCACTGGACGCCTCTAGCAGTTGGTTAAATAAGGTACAGTGTGACGGATGGAAAAGAATGTGATGCTTTATATGCAGCCGTGTCCAAAGCCCTTCAATCAATGGGCGCATTGTCAAGTATGAAGGCTCCTAAAAAACCTGATTTCACTGTAGCAATAGCCATGGAACAGACTATTAGAAGCTCAGGTCATATGTGTCAGGTACATTTTTGTGCAAAAATCGTACTCCACGACACCGATGATAAATAAATACACTAACGCCGAAAGTAGGTTCCTTACTCCACGGGATACTTCGAACCTCTTTACTTTCCTCTATGTCCATCCATGGATGCGACAGAACGGAAACGTTTAATTCAACTTGCTCAGGGCGTCATAGCTATCGATCAAAACCATGGGTCTTGACTGAAGAATTTTCGATCTATGCTAAGGGACTATAGGTATCGGCTAAAGAATCGCGAGTTTTTGTGAAAGCTTGATGGGGAAAATTGCACAGAGATTGGGAAGTGACGGTGAATGTTTGGGTTACCCCGTTCGGTTTTTCATAGGAACTAGGCACTGATGACAATGATTCCTGACAGGGACACAAATAGAAAGCACTGCTGACGAGTCTCAAACAGGACGAAAACAGTTGTCTAGTGCCCGTTCTCAGTCATTACAAAGATTTCTATCGTAGTTAGACCTGCTTTGATCAGAACATGAGATGAAATGTCTATCAAGTTTGATGGACTGATGTGGTGAAAGTGTGATTCAAAGAATTGGTAAAGTAATTGCAGCCCAATTTACAATACCAAATGGTATAGGAAACTGCAATATCCTTCATGACTATAATGAACAAGTTTTAATTTTACATTGATTGATTCAAAGTTTTGCACATAACTACCTCACATTAAAAAATATTATATTAAACCGGTTGGATGTCTTTTTTTAAATCTTTTTATTTTACTTCCTTTTATTGAATATGCAGTGGTGCAATTTTCAGGAAGGGGAAGCGGCCAATCAAAGGGCTGCCATTCAACACACAATGGGGAAAGTCAGGCAGTGGTGGTGGGATTCAAACACACATCCCCGAGGGGATAATTTGGTGACGTTACCACCGGGCCACCACCGCCTGAAAAATATAATGCATGCGCTCTCGTAGACCAGCACACCAATCAATACTTACCCACCCGATACGAGAGCTTCTTTGTTCAAAATTGCTCGTCTCAAAACATTCATTCTACAGGTGTAATTGAAGCTGAAGCAACTGTGAAGCATTTGTGGATTCTTATAGGGAACAGCATTTATACTGAATTAAATTTTTGTATAACTAATAATAAGCAGACCTTGGTGAGTCTTTATAGCCGTGATTTCCGTGATTCGTTTATACTCAGCAGATGGAATGGTTCAGAACGTAGCGAATACTCCCGTTTCAACAGTATTGGTTGACCTAGATCATAGTGTCGGTATTGAATCCCCCAACTTTGTTATGAATTCATTTTCTACTTTGTGCTCCAATACGTATCGCACATTTACCTCCGATGACTAATTTTCAGGTAGCACACTGACTTCTCTCTTCAAAACAGAAAACAGATTTTCAATCACATTGAGATCCGGGTTATTAGGGGGAAGTTACATTAACTGAGCCTTAGATTCACGCATCTTTCCTTTTTCTTTTCTAAAATCAAATAATATCTGAACCAGTCTACTTAACTGAATAAATTCACTGATCTCCCTTGAAACATAACACGGAGCGGTATCCTGAAAAACGATAATTTTTCCAGACGATTTTTTTCACGAAATTCGGGAAACATTTTCGTCATCACAGATGAAACTTTTCCACTATTCATCATGCCTTTGCAGAAGGTAGCATAAATGGTAGGGAAGATCTTCTCTTTAGATAGACGACAACGATTTTCTGCAAAGTTTTTTCACAGTATTGTGAATTAGGTCGTCCTCCTGTTTGGACGTACTCGGTTTACGGCCTCCACAAGCTATTCTGGTTGTTGTTTTCCATGGATTACCGTACAAATCGTGCTGTTGTTAGCGTCAAAGCATTGGGCAAGATTTGATATGAAAAATCCCAGCTTGTGTGCTCGTGCAACGTTATTCCTGTCCTCTTTACTGAGATAACGAAAACTTTCGGTTTTAGGCGCTACTGGCTTCATTATGGTGATAACAATACAAACATTCAAAGCCGTGCGCTAAAATAACGTTGATTTCAAGGATGACTTGTTCAAAAATGATATTTATCGAATTTAGTGAGTTGGCTATCTAATATATATTATCATTATTATGAAACCATTTTTAAATGCAACTTCTTTGGGTTGTGAAAGAATTTCATTCGGTTATTCAATAGAGCTGCTATAATAGATTATATCGGATAAAATAATGTCTCATAACGAACAACCGAGATGGCAAGGGTTGATGAAAATAATTCGGGATAATTCGTGAGTCACTCTTATTAGAATATATTGCGTTTTTATACTTAATAAAGTTTGCTGTTTTCACGCTGAGATTATTTTATCTTTGCAATCAAGGTTAGATGCAATTAACTGACTATTATGCAGTCTAGAAACTACGTAGATTAAAGTAGACAACAGATAAATTATTGTCCATTATTATAGATGATAAATATAATGAAACTCAATTTTATCAGAAAGAAAATATTTAGATGCATCACAGTCGGCCAGTACTGTACTTACCATGCCGCCGAAAATGCAATAAATTGAGGCTTGAATTGCAACATACCGTCAATTCGTTCAGATCGATTTTCTTACATTGTCGGTAGGTTGGTTTAGTCCATTTCGT